CTCATGCTGAACCTTTGTGACAGCTGTAAGGATAAAACCCAGTTTTCCTGAAGAGCATTCAGCTGCCTCAATTAAGAGATTCTCTTTTGTCATCTTGCACTTTTTTTTTATACATTCCTACACAGCTTGCAAATTCACCAACCCAAATCTTGCAAACAGAAGGATCCTAAGGACAAAAGCCTCAATTCATTGTTATAACAGATTCTGTGCATAGAATAAAGAGGGTCTGGGGCGGGAGGCAACCACATGATTAAAGACCATAAAGTAAGGTGCTTGCATAATGGGGCCAACTTAAGGTCCCACCAAGCTCACTGCCCCAATTCTACTTCCTGACCTCAGCACATCCCCATTATTCCTTCTGCATTTTGATTATCCACCAGACTTCATCCTTTGCATGGCACAAACCTCAAAAAGAACATTAAGGAAAGCAATGAAAGACTGTTTCACTGCTGCTGCCAGCCTAGAGGGATCATTACAGACAGCCTGGCTTCGGCCAGGTAGCCCTGAGTCAGGCATCACAATCGCCCCTTCCGGAGGCAGTGAGGAGGAAGGCAGATGCAGTTTACCTGGTTCTCAATGCTTGGTCCACAGTACCAAAACAGGCAAATTTATCCTTTCAAAAAATTTACATGTGATCACAATTTGTGGAGACAGCACATCAGTAGTCTGGGCAACAAGATGAGGCAAAAGAGGCCATTCCTGATGGCTTATGAAACAAGAGGAAAAAAATCTAATTAAAAAAAAAAGTTTCTATAATGCATACAGTTCAAAGGTTTCCACTTCTGGCAAGATCTTGGAGATGCATCAGAAAGTCTGCTTATTCCCAGGTTTCAAGTTCTGAACTACTGAGGCATTATAACTGTACACAGGAAATAACACCACAGGAAATCTTACACATACTTAACAACAAAAAATATTTCTGTAGCCTCAGTCTTTGAAAGAATAGCCTAAAATTTCTTTTAAAACCCACAAAACATCATAGACTATATTAGATTAATGATTGTAATGATTAATGTAGTTATGTATTATAGTTATGCAAAGCTGTGCATCTCAATAAAAACATACCTGCAAAAATAATTATTACTTTGCAATGGGCACAATGTAAACAAGTAAAATGATATAGGAAACATGATCTTTCACAAAAAATGAATGTGTTTCTAAAATATTGTGGTGAGTTTTTATTTTGCTTCCTCTATGCATAAGGAAATTTAAGGGACTGGATTTTTAAATAGTATTGTAAGCTATTCAGAAAACCAGGAGAGTAGGAAGGTATAGTGGAAAACATCTTGCAAAAACATAACAATGCACAGCATTTAGCATAATCTGAACTCTCAAGAGCTTATACAGGCAACAAACCAAGATGGTATGATGAAGTCCAAACTCTCCAAACATGCCAGGGCTCCAATTTGGGCAACAGGAATTACAGTTTTAAAATCAAGTACAACACAAATATAATGTGATTACTTACTGTTCCTTTCTCTCAGGCTGTCTTTAGTGTTTACTTAATTTCAGTCTTCAGAAAGTCATCTCATGGTTTTTGATCTCTCTGGCTTTGTCATTACAATCACAAAGACAACTGCATAGATTATTTGTTTGAGGGTTTTTCTTTCCCCACCTGCTATTTTATGGTGCCTAAAGTAGCCTTAAGTTCAGTATGGCTTTGGTTTCCCTTCAACCTTTACTTTTAAAGCAGCTACATCACATCCAGTTAAACCCGAGTTTGCCAATGGACAAATCTCTTTTAAGTTTTTTTTCCTCTCCCAAACACATCTTTAAAAGTTTTCTTTCAAGAATGAGAACAGTTGAAACTTTAACAAAGTTCCAATTTCTATTATGCAAAACACTGGAATTAAATATTACAAGAATATTAAAAGCCATAACAAGACTAGACTCAAATTGTCTAGCTGTAAATTCTTTTTGTACACTTAGTTGTACCTGTGACCTCTAGATATCAAAACAATGTGGGTTTTATTTTTTCATACACATTATAAGCAATGAAATTAAAATAAACAGAGTCTGGTTTCCTCCCTTTTTCCCTCACCCACAATATTGTGCTTGATAGAGCCGCACACAATCTGCATGACAAAGCTAAAAAAATGACTAGACATAGAGGGACAACACTCCTCTTTCAGAAATGCATAATCAAACCTATAGGAATACTCCTGTCCATAAAGAGAAGTGCAAAGTCTTCATAAAAACAAACAAAACCACACAGAAGATTTTTTAAATGTACCTTAATTATTAAATATTCGAAAATATGCAGAATGTCACTTCACTCTCTGCCTGTATTCTACAGAAGTTCTGACAAAATACTTTGGAAATTTTATAATGTTGCTAATACACTGATGCTACCATCACCGTACTGATACTCGTCCTGTTTCCATAGTTCTGTGCATTCTAGGATGGTCTTTTGTTGCTTTTATCAAACTCAGGTTACAAAGCTGTTAGGACAGAGACTTTTCCTTCAGCCATATTCAGAGTATCTACAGTACAATACAGTCTTGATTTATACCTGGATGTCCAGATCCTGTAACACAAATGAGTTGCAAGGATAAAAAGTTCATGACCTTTTCTTTAAATTGCATGGCAGATTTTAAAGATTTATACTTGAGCTCCTCAGGGAGCAGACAGTTCATCACTTCTAGTTTACATGGATTTAAATCAAGGGACTGCAATTTGTCCAAAGTTAGCAAACAATCCTCTGATGAAACTAGGAATATGACTTGGCAATTCTTTGTTTCCTCTTTCTGTCTTGTAGCTTTCCTACACCATCCTTCCCTGTTGCCAGGAACTGAGACACAATGTAAAAATTCTTCACTTTCGTCTTGGATTTCTTCCGAATCACTAATGTCATGCAGAGCAAACTCAGCTTTGCCATTAACCACTAACATGGTTCCTTCAGACATTACTGGCTAGCTACAAGAGTCTGGCCAAATCTTACTAAACATTTAAGAGTATAAGCAGTTGTAATGAGGCAGCCTTACTGCAGTTTTTTTTCAGCTGGGAATTTACTGAACCTGTACTGACAGTGAAGATAACACTTTCAATGCTATTGTAAAGATAAGAATCTGGTTATGCTCAAATGGGTGCTTCTGCTACCCAGAGCTGAAACATATATTCAGAGCTGCAATGGAATTGGAGACAATCTTGTGTCAGTTCCACAATGTGACTGTTATTTTGACAGCTAGAACTACAGGTTCCAAAGAGTCCACCCACTACACCTTATGGACCCCTTGGGAAAGCATGAGTGGATCTTTTTACCAGAAAACCTATATAACTAAACAGCAGATAATATCCTGGAACAGGAGCCATGGCACAATAGATACTATTCACTATCTTAGCAAGGTAGTTTTAGTGCCAATGGATCAGTTTTTAAATGAAACTGCAAGTGACCACATAGACAAGGAAGCTTTTTTAACTCCTCAAGATGCGATTGCTTTTAACCAGTGGCCAAAGATGCATGTGCAAGTTTAAGCACTCAGTTCAACATCCTCTCCTCTCCCTAGATCACATGCCCACAAAGCAGGAGGGAACAAGAACTGGGAGTAGTCACCAGCCAGAAGAGTACTAAATATTGTCTTAGGAAGCCTAACTATTTTCATAAGTAAAGATTAGCTACAAAAATTCTTTCTAAAGCTTTTTTTTTTTTTAACCATTCTCACACACAAACCAATTGTATTTCTTAATGAGGTGATTTCATGAGGATTTAAATCTCTTTGTTTCACGAAATTACGAGTGCTGGGGGTCACCAGCATCCCACGCATTTCAAGTTATTCAACTGTGCTAAGAACATTATTTTTCTGGCAGATCTTTCATTAACTGATTTTAGTTAATCATATAATCTATTCTAATAGATTAGTCTATTAGTTAGTCTGTTATAATAGATTTTATGATTATACAGATTATATATGAACTATACAATCATATAGTTATTCTGTAGGAAAATAAATATCAAAGTCTTCAGTGATAAAGTCTAAGTGTTTTTTCTGCTCTCTGCCTCTCTCACAGATATTATCAGTTATTAAATCTTAATGTCTTTCCCAATCTGTATCCAATATTGGGAGTTAAAGTTTATAAACTGTTCTCCTCATACCAAAATAAATCATTAGTTCAATTAGTAAGGCAACTCTAATCAGCAGCCTTCCACTAATTTGTTTCATACTCATCTAACAACTTCAAAATTGCTGCAAATATCTTGGAGCCTGCACTGCAAGGAAATGCTGCCCATTACCATTACGGGTTTTTGATGCCTTAGCTCAACCTAAATGATGATATGAAGGCCTAAAAAAGGTCACCTAGTGTCTCAACATTTATCTGCTGCTGTGGACCTACCACTTTAGTACTGACATGGGAAAAATAAGGTTCCTAAATGCAGTCTTGTTCTGGAGAAATAATAGTGAGAATCCCTTAAACAACAACAAAACCCAAACAGAAAGAAACTGAAAAAAAATAAGCAACGCTTCTTCTGATTTCCCTGGAAATGACTCCAAGCACCTGCCCATTTCCCTGCTTTACACCCACACTACCACCCCCCAGTTACTTGGCTTCTTTGTCTAAAAATGAGGAAAAACAGAACCCCATCATAGAAGACACATTTGTTCAAATATAAAGCATTACATTCTACACAATAACAACATGGACAAAATTGCATGTTATGGTAGGGAGAAAATACTGCAGTACTTAGGGCATCTAATCTTAGCACATCAGCGGATCTAGACCACAGAACACATGCTAGCCCTCACCAGTTTTAAGACTAGAAATGACTGGAGTCTGACATTGTACGCTACCTTGATGGGAGGAAACCACTGCAGCTATTCAGAATGTGGTTCAGTATTCTGCTCACTATAGATTGCGGTAAAAAGGGACTGCGTCAAGCAGTGTGGCCTCAAAGTGTCAAAAAGAAAATTATTATTTTCAAGTACTGACATTCATTATCAAAGTTTAAAATTGTATCTGCATGTTTGATTCAATTAAAAAAAAATGATGTTTTTCTTCCACAGTTTATAAAAGCACTTTTGGGGAAGCCCGTTTTAGAAATCGAAGAGGAATTCTTGAATTAGCCGGAGCCATTAGATGCACTACAGGACGATCTCCTTTTGCCTACCTCCGCTATGGATGCTACTGTGGTCTGGGAGGAAGAGGATGGCCCAAGGACAGAGTAGACTGGTAAGAGTAACTATCTAAGTAATTAAGTGCTGAATGTATGCAGATGACAGAGTGAAAGGACTAAAATACTAATTAGGCCTATTTAACATCAGTGAGGGGACTGAGTTTAAACACACATCAGACTGCTAAGAAACTCTGAAGCATTAAAATTGTGTTACTATGGATCTACATGTGTCCTACTTGCCTTTAACTCAAACTGTCATTGCATTAATATTGGATTCACAGTGCAACTGAGTTTCTTTGCTGTTGCTGTTTGGCCAAGAACTGAAGTCTTCTTGGAGAAGCTTTAAAGCTCAAACATTCAAGCTATCTATAAAAGTAAAAAAAAAAAAAGGCAATTGAAAAATCTTTTGATTCTACTACCATCCATCCTGTTTTATTAATATTCAAAATAATACATTCAACCTGTTGAAAAATAACTTTTGAATAAAAGGAATTGTAAATTGTTACTAAAATAATTCTAAAAACAGGCCTTTGTATTTATTATTAAATCTCAGCATATTGACTACCATCAATTTAATTTATAATTGAATGTTAGCTGACAGGAAGATTATTTTCTGGTTACAGTAATTAAATAAAGGTTTTATATTTTCAAGTTTATCATTATAATGATACATTTCCCCACATCTCAAGTTCTGACAGACAGATACATTGTAAATTAAAAGGAGAACAAACATCTGACACTCACATTTAGGGTAGAATATATGGAAAGTTCAAATTTGATTTTTTTTTTTTGCACTTTTTTTTACTAGATTCTAGTTGTGATCAGACTTAGAACTTTTAGAATCTTTACCTACATATTTCAAGTTTTTGGATGTGTAATCTGTAATTTAAAGACAATTTTGCAGATTTCAGTTGCTACTTTAATGACTGGGAACATGTACAAAACCAAGGGACTATTATTAGTTCTGGTCATCTGTATACCTAAAGATAATGATGGAGAATCTGCAATTTGCCAGTCTTTCATTGTAGGCCATTTTTTCACTTTGTAAAAGCCCCACAGTAGCAAGAAGCTGCTTCCTCACAAAACATGATTAGCTATTTGTCGTCTGGGTTTTAGTAGCTACAGAATGTTAAGAACAAGCCAGAAATGAGCGTAATTACTCTACTGCATTTGAACAGAATCAAGAATTGCACCAATTGAATGCAGAAACAAACATTCTTATCATGTTTGATTTCTTAAAAGTTTGGGGCTACACTCTGAGCTGTTTACATTCAGAATTATGCCTGAAAACAAGTTAAGTGAAAATACAGAAATACATAATCTAAAGTAAAGCCATCTATAATGTAATTATTCAAATAATAGTTATTGCAATTCAGATTTTTGCCTGCCACTTATAAAACTAAACTTTGAAATGGAGAGAATCATATATTGCTTTCATAAGATAAAATAAAAAAATTCTTAAGCATCTATTTTTATTTAAAATGCTTAAAAGAGGACTAAAGTAAATCTAAAAAGTCTTGTAAACACATGAAGATAGACTACACTATGGCAAAAGAAGCTGTATTTCCTGGTTTATTTACCTTAGTACTGCTACAAAGACTCACTAGATTTTTTTCTTTTTTTCTTTCTTTTTTTATTTCAATATGGATGTATTGAGCTACTTCATGGACATGTGCTGTTCAACTGTTACATACCACAGGATCTTTAAATGGCAATTTGTATGGAATTACCAAGTAATTATTTAATAAGCATAGGAAAAGACAGTAATTGCAAGTGAGAGCTCACAGCATTAACTTTTTCTATTGCAGACACAATTCCTCAGGCAATCTATCTAAACACCATCTAAACATCATATGCATACTGTAATATGATGGTTTTAGGCTACCAGGAGGAAACCGAATGACTGAATACAAGGAGCTCGTGGATATATCCAGTTCTTCCACCAACTCAAGAAAGAGTATAGTTAGTTTGCAGCAAAAACTTACAAGCTATCTAATTTCAGGTCCTTGTTACCTCCTCTACTTGCTATTTTGGGCTTGCAATGACTCTACACCAGAAGAGTAATTCTTTTTTAAAGCATTAAAATAAGCCATTAATGCTTACCTGTACTGTTCAGTTCCACAATGTGATAGAAAGTCCATGAATTCATTGTCCCAATCATGACAAGAACAATTCTGAAGTCATCATTTTGGGCAAATTTCCAAATTTTCTGATGATACTGAGCAAACAGTTTTAGTTATATTATGGCACTAAACAGCACCCGTGCCCATTCATTACTTGAACATTTCACCTGCTCTCGGCTTTTCTGCCACTATCTGAGGACTTTGTTTTAGACAACATTTATGATAGTATGCTACGGCCTAACAAATCTTCTTATCCCTTCCCTGTTAACTGTTACAATAGCATCAATAACTGGTAGAAAAATACATCATTCATTATCTGACAGACTACTCTGGCATTTAATCTTTTTCTTGGAAAGGGCTAGGAGAAAGGCATAACCACATAAAAGTTTATTGTGTTTAAAACAGCGTGCTTTAAAGATTCCTTGTATTTTCATCTATGAGGAAGTTCAACTAGATCAATGTGTATCAGACATTTTCTTCATCATTGATTACATGAATGAGTAATAACTTTTTCCAGGTGATCTATTAAACAATTACCCTATTTTGAATCCTGAGCAAAACATTCACATGTGTCGACTGTTTTATTATTTCACAGCCTGTAGAAACATGCTGATAAAAACCATCCAGATAATGTGACCATAAATCACCACAGTATGAATTAAGGCAAGCCCATTTCCGTTACTCTCAGGTGCTGCTTTAACCATGACTGCTGCTATGGGAAGGCAGAACGAGCAGGTTGTCACCCAAAGATAGAAAGTTACCACTGGGAATGTGAAGACAATGATGCTGTGTGTGGTGAGTGAAGAGTTCTAGTTGGGTTTTTTAGGGTTTGTTTTGTTCTGTTGCTTTTTACTTCTACTGATTGTCTCATTGACTTCACAGAAAGACATTTTCTTAATTAACTGTAAAATTCTTTTTTTACCATCCTTCCTTTTGTGACTTTTTTGCCAGGGTACACTGTGCCTCCAGAAAGCACAGCTATGCCAACCAACTGAATGCAGTTTCTTCTCCTTAATCCACACCTACTGACATACATAAGCAAATGAAATTCTGATCTACAAGCTTATATTACCCTTTCAGAAAACACCACCAAAAAGCCCCCTCTTTTTACTTGGCATTTACGTATGTTGAGGAACCCATGTTATGCTACTCCCTGCAGGTCTCCAACTGGAGAGCAACTACAAACAGGAGGCAAGAAAATTACAACTGTTTATAAAGCATCCTTTTTATACTCAGCAGAAATTATTTCACACCATTTAGAAGTTTATGATGGACAAGTTTGTGTCATACTTACCACTGATCGGTTGCACAGCCCACTGCTAGTGGCTGCAATTTGTGAATGAATTTACAATTACAACTTACAATTTCAAACACTGAGATGACAAAATATTTGATGAGTATGTTTATTTATGGAAGTAACATCCTGACCACATCCTGATATTGCTCAATTGCTCTGCAATATGAATGTAACATACTTCCCACGCTGTAGTATAAAACAGAAGGACAAAGACCTCGAAGAAACAAAAAATGTTTAACAGGTAAAAACAGCATTTCTTTTACATTATTTGTTCATATCTCCCAAAGTTTTAGCAAGTATTTTCCAATACACTTCAAAGAGTTTTTGAAATGATAACTCCTCACAAGACCCCAACATTTGCAGGTTTTTTTCTTGTTAGGTTTTGGGTGTTTTTTTGGTTGGTTTTGGGGTTTTTTTTGTTTTGCTTTTATGTTGTTTGGGGGTTTGTTTGTTTGTTTTTTTTAAGTCAGGTGTTAGGTCTGTTACTTTGCATGTAATTTTATGCTACTACCTAGAATGCAAATCAGCTTGAGAATTGGTTATTATTTGCATCACAAAAATGTAGACCCTTACATAAACTTATTTACAACAATGAGTCTGAGTTGCTAACTACCATAGTTTAAAGGCAACACAGTAGGCTGTTCAAAGAAAACACATAAACCTTGCATTTCATAACTCAATTTAGAATTTGCCTGACCTGTAATCAAATGGAAGTTTTTGACACTATTTCCTTTCCTTCTTTTCATTCAACCTTTTCTTTGCCTAAGTGCCTACCTCATGCAGAATCTCTACTTTCTAATTTCTTCCTCTGCTCCAGAAGTACTAAGCGTCTTCTCTCCCAAACTATCTAACTGTCAAGTTACAGTCCACCTATATTTGGCTGTAAAGGTTCTGCTCCTGTTCCAGTCCAGAAGCTGACAATATTTTAAAATACTGGCCAAGATAGTAGGCATGTAATCAAGAAACAAAGCTGAAACAAAGTCCCTGGCATACCATGGAGAAGATTACGTTTGGAGCAGTAACAACGGAATGAATAGTTCTTCTCAGTTAATGTGGGTTTGTTTTTTTGTTATCCTTTATGCTGTTTATGCTACTTATGCTATTGAGTAGTTCTTAGGGTAGCTACTTGCAGTGTGAACATACATATATATTAAGAACATTTCCATTTCATAGTAGAATTTGATTTCATTCACAAAACTGAACACTTGTTCTGCTCCTAGACAAATCTCAAGTAGAGATTCAGCTAAGCTTTCAAAATGTTAAACACTCAGATAAAATATAATCAAGGATTCTTCATTTTACAGACAGCTGCAGAGAGAAAACACACACATTTCTAGGTTGGCACAATAAAACCAAAATGTATTGCTGTATAGGAAAACGTTCATGCCAAGAAGAAATGTTCATGCCAAGAAATCTGTTAAGTTACAACACAACAATTATAAAACAAATATGGTCAGACATGGATTTTATCGTACTTAAACACACTTTACCTAACTTCTTACTGAATGCCTTAATAAAAATAAGGTGGGCAATTTAAGCTGAACATGGAACATCTTTGCAACCCTTATTTCACATATATAATCTTAATGCTACGTCCTTTAGTAGAGTAAAGCATATGTGAAATTGAAAATATCTTCCCAAACTCAAGTTTCACGAGAGCAACAGGGTGGGCAGGGAAGGTCACATACTACTTTCTAAACATGAATCAGTTATCAGAGTTCCTTTATTAAAGAATGTGAAAAAGAGTATGTAAATCTTTATCCAATTATTATATTTTCACCTGCCAAGATAGTTCCACTGATTATCAATTGTCACTAAACCAAACCATGCTTGTATATTCTCTGTTGCTGAAATGTCCTAGAATGGAGCTCTGTCTAAAGGATGTGAAATGACTGTAAGTTTTACTAAAGCTCAGTACAGTTCCTACTGCACTTGAAATATAGGAGTGATTTATACAGCAAATACAGAAAGTGAGGTAGCAATTATTAGTATTCCATTTGGTATTTTTAATTACTTCAGACTAACATCAAACTTTTACTGTGTTTTCTTTCAGAATCACTAGAAGACAAATGTCAAAAAATGGCATGTGAATGTGACCGTGAAGCTGCCAAATGTTTTTCCAAAGCTCCCTATCATACCAAACACCTTTTGTGGCCAGACTTTATGTGTGGTGAAATTCAGCCTTTGTGTAGATATTAGATACAGGACATTAGTCTTTATGAAAACTCTGTATGTATTTAAATCTAAAATGTCGTCTTTTTTTTTTTTTGTCACAGTAGTGACAACAAATGATTTTCCCTTCTTGATCCTCCTTCCTGCTGCCACAGCCTCTCCACCCCACAATGGCCAAAGTGAACATTTATCCTCTTATTTACCTTCTACAGTGCACCGACTAAAAGCAAGTTCATTGGTTCTGAGTAACCTTTTATTGACTAAATAGAAATTTATCAGCTTAAGGAGTAACCAACTTAAAATTAATTTTGTTTATACTCAGATTCACAGATTTTTCAGATTCATAATATCGTTCACTGTAAACTTTTCATCTCCCCCTCCACTGGCTATAAGATACAAATCAAACTTTTCCACTAACATTTACCTTAACATTTGTTAACTTTGAACTGACCAGAAGAAATGCATGAAATGACAGTGTCAGCACAAAGTGCCCTCTCATCTATATTAAACACTTATTATGAAGCATAATTTAATTTTTGTATCTCATTCACCTTAGGTAGTCCTACTTGTATTAAAAAAATGCCTAATATAATTCCTGTTTTCTAGTATTTACTTTTTAAATACAGTTTTCTAAGCAGTTGTTCATTTGATATGGCTCAAGCTCCTTACTCTATGTACACCTTGAGTTTCCTGTGGGCACAGGGAGAAGTTCTACCCTTAAAAATTCAGAGCCATATTTCAAAGTGCAAATGCAAACCATCACCAAGATGGATACATGAAAAAAACTAGCAGTCACTGGGACCAACTGCCTTTCCTATAGGTGTCTGATCTGGGAAAGCACAAGTCTGCAAAGTTCAGAAGTGTATATACCTCATAAGGATGTAAAGATGGTTTTAGCTATGGTCACTTCATAGTGTTTTGAAACCTTTTAGGAAAAGAAATCAGTAACACAAATTGCTGAACCATATACTTTTTCATAACTGCTAATTTTAACAGTTAAGAACCAAGAGTGTTTTATGTCTACTTTCACGCACCTCAACTTACTTGAAGATGCAGGGCTACAGAACAAGTTTGCCCAAGTTAAAGCTAATGACAAGTACTTCAATATAAAAAAAAAAAAAAAAAAAAAACAACAAACCAAACCAAACCAACAACAACAAAAACCCACCACTTTTTTAGGAAGGATGAAGATTTCAAAAGAGATCTTTAATCTTTAAAAATATTCATAGGCAAATTTAAAGTTCATATCAATGACACAAATGAAAAAAAAAAAAACAAAACCAAAAACAAACCAATGTAGAAAGCAAGGGGACAAAGCTCTTGAAAAATCTAACTTTTGCTTCAGTCAAAAACTATACATTAGCAAATGGCAATCCTGTTTACACAAAATGACTTTCCAGTCAATATTCACTCACAGATCTAGATACACACATTATATTGCAGTAAAATGCAATTACAGTGTCAGGTCACTTTTCCAAAATAATCCTTTTTAAGAGATAACCCCGAATTTAAGAATTAGCAACAGACTTCAAGAAGAGAGCATTAAGAATCTATTGATGAAATCTAACTGATCTGAATAAAAAATTTTGAACGGCAATCATCATATTTTCCAAAAGACACGAAAACTGAAGCAGTCTTTACCTTCAACAGCAG